AGTGTATAGATGTACAGCCCCAGTACAGAGAGTATATAGATGTACAGCCCAGTACAGAGAGTGGATAGATGTACACCCCAGTACAGAGAGTGTATAGATGTACAGCCTCAATACAGAGAGTGGATAGATGTATAGCCCAGTACAGAGAGTGTATAGATGTACAGCCTCAATACAGAGAGTGTATAGCTGTACAGCCTCAATACAGAGAGTATATAGATGTACAGCCCCAGTACAGAGAGTGGATAGATGTACACCCCAGTACAGAGAGTGGATAGATGTAGAGCCTCAATACAGAGAGTATATAGATGTACAGCCCCAGTACAGAGAGTGTATAGATGTACAGCCCAGTACAGAGAGTGGATAGATGTACAGCCTCAATACAGAGAGTATATAGATGTACAGCCCCAGTACAGAGAGTGTATAGATGTACACCCCAGTACAGAGAGTATATAGATGTACAGCCCCAGTACAAAGAGTATATAGATGTACAGCCCAGTACAGAGAGTGTATAGATGTACAGCCCAGTACAGAGAGTGGATAGATGTACAGCCTCAATACAGAGAGTGGATAGATGTACAGCCCAGTACAGAGAGCGGATAGATGTACATCCCAGTACAGAGAGCGTATAGATGTACAGCCCAGTACAGAGAGTATAAAGATGTACAGCCCCAGTACAGAGAATGTATAGATGTACAGCCCCAGTACAGAGAGTGTATAGATGTACAGCCCCAGTACAGAGAGTGTATAGATGTACACCCCAGTACAGAGAGTGGATGGATGTACAGCCTCAATACAGAGAGTATGTAGATGTACAGCCCCAGTACAGAGAGTGTATAGATGTACAGCCCTATTACAGAGAGTGAATAGATTTGCAGCCACAGTACAGAGAGTGTATAGATGTACAGCCCCAGTACAGAGAGTGTATAGATGTACAGCCCCAGTACAGAGAGTATATAGATGTACAGCCCCAGTACAGAGAGCGTATAGATGTACACCCCAGTACAGAGAGTATATAGATGTACAGCCCCAGTACAGAGAGTATATAGATGTACAGCCCAGTACAGAGAGCGTATAGATGTACAGCCCCAGTACAGAGAGTATATAGATGTACAGCCCCAGTACAGAGAGTATATAGATGTACAGCCCCAGTACAGAGAGTATATAGATGTACAGCCCCAGTACAGAGAGCGTATAGATGTACAGCCCCAGTACAGAGAGTATATAGATGTACAGCCCCAGTACAGAGAGTATATAGATGTACAGCCACAGTACAGAGAGTATATAGATGTACAGCCCCAGTACAGAGAGTGTATAGATGTACAGCCACAGTACAGAGAGTGGATAGATGTACAGCCACAGTACAGAGAGTGGATAGATGTACAGCCCCAGAGAATGTATAACGCACAAATGTCTGCACCTTGTTGACAATGACAGCGTTATCACCGCGGGTAAGATGCCTCCTCATCCCCCTTCATAGCGCACGTTGACGGGGACGGCTGTGGCCCGGAGCGTGATTGACAGTTCGTGTGCAGCATGTGTGACATGTACAAGACTGATTTCTGCACACGAAGGACGAGCGACCAGGTCATGTGGTGTTATATTCAGAACAAACCAATATATAAAACATAAACCTTGGCCCGGGAGAGAAATAATTGTAGTTCCTGACTTGTGTTTGTTACAACCGCTGGCTCCTGTTTGCGTTCTATTCTGTATTTAACGTATTACTTTAACAACGACATGTGATGTAGGACGTGATATGATCATTAATGTGAGATGAGCAGCATGCATTTGATCAATACATACCTGAAATACCTTTAAGTCATATATCATTAAATGAATATGCTTATTTTAAGTTCTATGTTAAGGAAAAGGGGGGAGGCAATCTTTTTACACAATAATTATTTTCACTTATAGATGATAAAAGAACGCTTTTGACACCTCACACAATCGACCGGCGCACTGCGCTACAACAGCCTATGACATTGACTCGTGTCTGATTCATTCTTTCCTAGGTTTTTGTCGTTATTTCTTTGTCAGCTACAGTTTGAAATGTCTCTCAGTAAGCGTTATTCTCATTCGTCGAATGTCACACATAAACTTAAAAATGTCAACTATTTCTGCCCTAATATCCAAATGTTAACGAAAATAAATAACATTCCCGCACGTCAATTGCGGCAAGCTAGCAGCAGCGCAGGCCATACTTTAGTCGAGGTTCATAAGTGTTAAGATGACATCATAAATCTCCTCCCGTTAATATGATGTTTATTTACCCTCGGTGTATAACATCCGGGGAACCAGCGAGCAGATCCTTCTCTGAATCCAACCTTTCTTTAACATGACACTCGACGAAAGTAGAATTAACCTAATCTGCCCAAATATCCCGAAACTGAATTGAAAGCTTTAGTGGGTATTCCGCACACCCTGTTGTCCGAGAAGTAGAATTGGCGTCCTCTCACAAACTCTCCAGTTTGAAATAGGTTGTAAATCAAGTGTGGGGAGAGAAACACGCGTGGGGTGTAAATGTGTGGGACATTTAGCTGACGCCGTCAAGTCAATACGCATGGATTTTTCAAAGTGAAATATATGATCAGCTGTTTATGTTCATGTTCCCTAGCAGGATGGTCCATTTCATCCTGGCTGGTAACACTATAGAGGCCACGAGAAATACTAGCGAACCGAGGACGATGGGGGTCCACGCCAGAAGACGCTTCGACTACCTGCTACAAGTTTAGTGAATGTTTTATCATTTAGGATCGTCCTGTGTCACAATGTGTTCAATCAGCATGTGCCTGCTTGTGCGTCTCTGCGGGTCAGTCCTCACGGTCACATCTATACTCCATGGAAACAGACACGGTCCTAGCAGTACGATCAACTCCCATGATAGCAAAATCTGAAACCAAAACCTTGTTACCCAGACACCATGAAGACCGTTACATCGGGGTTAAGATGATGTGATGATTCCTTGCAATGATGGTTGTCACCTTGGGCAGCATTGGATAACAAATAGTCTTGGGACACCTTGCCGAGCCTTGGATAACAAATGTTCTTGGGACACCTTGCACAGATTTGGATAAAAACTATTCTTCGGACACCTTGCACAGATTTGGATAAAAACTATTCTTGGGACACCTTGCACAGCCTTGGATAACAAATGTTCTTGGGACACCTTGCACAGATTTGGATAACAAGTATTGTCGGGACACCTTGCACAGCATTGGATAACAAATAAGTTTGAGACACCTTGCACATATTTGGATAAGAAATATTCTCGGGACACCTTGCACAGATTTGGATAAAAACTATTCTTGGGACACCTTGCACAGCATTGGATAACAAATAATTTTGAGACACCTTGGACATATTTGGATAATACATATTCTCGGGACACCTTGCACAGATTTGGATAACAAATATTCGTTGGACACCTTGCACAGCCTTAGATAACAAATAATTTTGAGACACCTTGCACATATTTGGATAATACATATTCTCGGGACACCTTGCACAGATTTGGATAACAAATATTCGTTGGACACCTTGCACAGCCTTAGATAACAAATAATTTTGAGACACCTTGGACATATTTGGATAATACATATTCTCGGGACACCTTGCACAGGTTTGGAGAACAAATATTCTCGGGACACCTTGCACAGCATTGGATAACAAATAAGTTTGAGACACCTTGCACAGATCTGGATAACAAATATTCTCGGAATACCATTCTCGGGACACCTTTGGCAGCATTGGATAACACATAGTCTTGGAACACTTTGCACAGCATTGGATAACAAATAATTTTGGAACACCTTGACAGATGTGGATAACAAATATTCTGGGGACACCTTGCACAGATTTGGATAAGAAATATTCTCGGGACACCTTGCACAGATTTGGATAACAAATATTTTCGGGACACCTTGCACAGATTTGGGTAACAAATATGTTTGAGACGCCTTGCACAGATCTGGATAACAAATATTCTAGGGACACCTTGCACAGATCTGGATAACAAATATTCTCGAGACACCTTGCACACATTTGGATAACAAGTATTCTCGGAACACCTTGCACAGCCTTGGATAACAAAAGAATCTGTGACACCTTGCACCCATTTTGATAACAAATAATTTTGAGACACCTTGCACATCTTTTGAGTTGGTACTCTCAGGCGTAGTGAGTGTCACCCGAGGCAGGCACTTTGTGGGGCGGGGGAGTTGTTGCAGCAGTGTTAGGGCAGTGAAGCAGACACTTTGGGGGTAGTTGTTGCAGCAGTGTTAGGGCAGTGAAGCAGACACTTTGGGGGTAGTTGTTGCAGCAGTGTTAGGGCAGTAGTTCAGATAGTTCAACCAGGATGATAGGACAGTGTTCCTGGGACGGGATGACTAAGCAATGAAGGACAACTTCTTCCATAGCAACTAAATGTGTTTTTCTGGGTCACACAAGATTGAATGTGCCATGAACATCGACAGTTAGTTTGTCTTAAGCGTTCCCACTAATAATTATAATAATAATGATAATAATAATAATAATAATAATAATAATATTAATAAAAATAATAATTATAATATAGTTGAGGAATTCATCTGTGATTCAAAAGGGTATTCGCACCGCGATGGGTGTAATACGATGGGCTGAGATAATGTTTATCCTAAAGGATTTAATAAATGTAAATAATCTCACCTTTCACAGTCACGGGGGCATTTTGCTGAAAAAAGCAGTGTCAGTTTTAGTTTTCTGTCCAAACAAAAGCTTAACATCCCCACAAAGGACTTAGCTTATCTGCATAATTCAAACAAGGATCAAATGTGCACTTAATTTGTACCCCGCGACTGATGCGCCACAAGGTCCAGCGTCCTAAACAGAGACTGGTTCTCTTAACGTGTTGGGAGAATGTGTCTGTGAATGTGTGAATGTCTGTGAATGTGTCTTTGAAAAACGTAAACCTTGTTCAAAGTTATTTTAAATGAAATTGAAAACAATGTGTATGAAAAATGTGAAATTTTGACATTTTGGGAAAAATCGTTCACACTGTTCGATGTAAATGTTTTACGAAGTATAAAACATTATTTGTGTGATAATTCAATCAGAATACTATCTTTATATAATAATTCGTCAAGTACTGTGGTTTAACCTAAGTCAACAGCAGTCAGGTGGGAAGGGACATTGTGTTGTGTATAGAGACATTACACGGTGTATATCCCTTTGTAAACACTGCATCCAGTGGCTTTAAATCAGGAAACATTATTTAAAGGGGGATCCCCAAATGACCCCTTGCCGAGCCTCGTTTTGATTACTGGGCACCCGAAGTGTTGCTGAATTATGTTACCTACTGGTTGCTCGGCTTCTCTGACCGTCAGCTGGGTGGCAGGATGCGAGCTACCTACATCACGTGTATAAGCCCTCAGTGTAACGGCGGTGCGAGACAGGACGGACGTGAAACGCGATACAACTGATGTCCATTGCTGGATTATGCCTATTTAACAAACAAAAGGGAATTTAACGATATTGACAAGACGGTTGATTACAAACATCAAGTAACTGTACATGTTGATGATACGGGATATAAACAATACATTGTGAATGTGTAACGCGAATTAATTTCGACGACTGTGCATCGCTGGATTTCCCGATTTTCCAACCTAACGAACTTTGTGGATGTCGTATTGTGAGAAGGCTCGTCCTGAATGGGCGGTATTGACTAGCATGTGTAGCACACCTGGAAGGCTGATGTGGTATACACGTGATAAGGCTGCAAACTGACAAGGAATACGTGAAAACACACCTGTTCTCAGGTGACATTACATCACCGGTCGCTTGTGTCTCTCATATACAACTTCGGTATTTGGTCAGCCTCCTAGACAACTGAAAAGCAGTTTTGACGTAATGGAAGTCTGTCTGGGAGACTCGCATGCAGGGTGTCCGTCCTGCTCATATGCACGCTGACGTGCCGCTCGCTTGTGAATGGGCCTGGATATAGTCTCATCAGTATTAAGCAATGGGTCATTGCAATTTCTTTCATCAATGTCTCAAAGAAGGCAGAACCGTTCCCAGGACCATTGTTCCGACAACGCCGGCAACAGTAGGATGACCAAGGAGTTGTAGGGTTCTGATGGTGTGTCTGAAGGACTGCTAGTGGTCACTGCTATGGTCATCTGGTCATCGAGGACATCATGGTGCAGAAGATCATCAATGCCTGGATGTGGTGTTGCCTCATGTTGAGCTTCGGGTCGGGGAAGTTTAATGGACCAGGGTAAGATTCCTTGTTCTATACTTAAACCTCACCACACATAGGGAACATCCTTGTCATGTGTATAGAAACATCACATGTGTGAATGGATTTCTAGCACACCTTGATGCAGACCCCGCAACAATGCTTTGAAAAAACCCACGTTTAGTTCATATTGGATTTCAGATTTACAATCAAAATTTACCAGCAAGCTTCCTTTGCCTCTTGCATAATAACATGTGCTGTCGCTATAAATATTGATGTTACAATTTTATAATATATGTTTCTACCATTTGCTGCGTCTTTCAATGTTTAGTCCCCGAGATGACACATCTTTCAAAAGTGTCCGATGTTTATGGCCGGCACTAATCTGATGTTTACAACGCTCATCTCAATTTACGTTCATTAATCCTAGAAAGTCGCACGAAACCTCCTGCTGTGACTCACTACAGACCGGAGTAACAGTGGCGTATCGAGTTCAAATGAAATGTTTGTAATCTCGTGGTCCATTTAATGCGTGATCAGTTACTTCTACGATTCCCGGCGTAATTATGAATATGATTCCTAATATCTCTTTGATGTGTCCGCGTGCAAGCACGTTTCTTTTATTTTCTTCCAAGCGGAAAATTATTTTGCTACTTCCTGAGATGTTATGTTCAGAATTAGTGAAATAGGACCCGCTTACACAACTAATTGCCTGCTCCTTTCATTCCGACTGCGCAGTCAGGCTGCTAATATAATGTACGTCAGTTGTTCGTTGCAAATGCATTTCATTGAGCACCATACACGGCAGAACTTTGCAATAGATTTGTGACAAAAATTATTAAAGTTTTATTCAACTGATTTGTCGTCATTTGCTACCTGGAGTATATTAATTATACGGCAACGTGGCAGGAGAAGCAACATTGTGTAGCATAACAGGACTTGGGAAACCGATTCAGTTTATGAACCATTTGAAATTAATATATATGTTGGAGATTAACCATTCCTGATTTCCTAAAGGCAGTAGAATAAACCAGCTGATTAAATATTAAAATATACTTTGTATGAAGATGGCTGTTGGGAATTAATTTTTTTTAAAGAATATTTGAGCGTAATAGCAAGCAGGCTGGTTTCATTTTTTATGTTGAAGAGTAATGAGAACTATGTTTGTAAATGTTGCTTGTTCTCAGTGTTGACCAGCGCTTGTTCACAGTTGGATCAGGTGCACATTCACAGTGTTAATCAGGAAGCATGTTCACTGTGTCAATCAGGTCACATGTTCACAGTTGGATCAGCTGCTTGTTCACAGTGTTAATGAAGAGACATGTTCACTATGTTAATCAGGAGACATGTTCACAGTATTAATCAGGAGACATGTTCACTATGTTAATGAGGAGACATGTTCACTATGTTAATCAGGAGACATGTTCACTATGTTAATGAGGAGACATGTTCACTATGTTAATCAGGAGACATGTTCACAGTATTAATCAAGCCTTTGTTAACTGTTGGATAAGGTACTTGTTTACAGTGTTAATCAGGTGACATGTCTATAGTGTTAATTAGGTGACATATCCACTGTGTTAATCAGGAGTAATGTTCACTGTGTTAATTAGGTGACATGTCCACTGTGTTAATTAGGTGATATGTCCAGTGTGTAAATTAGGTGATATGTCCAGTGTGTTAATTAGGTGACATATCCACTGTGTTAATCAGGAGTTATGTTCACAGTGTTAATCAGGTGACATGTCCACTGTGTTAATCAGGTGACATGTCCACTGTGTTAATTAGGTGACATATCCACTGTGTTAATCAGGAGTTATGTTCACTGTGTTAATTAGGTGACATGTCCACTGTCTTAATTAGGTGATATGTCCAGTGTGTTAATTAGGTGATATGTCCAGTGTGTTAATCAGGTGACATGTCCACTGTGTTAATTAGGTGACATGTCCACTATGTTAATTAGGTGACATGTTCACTGAGTTAATCATGAGACATGTCAATTGTGTTAATTAGATGACATGTCCACTGTGTTAATTAGGTGACATGTCCACTGTGTTAAATAGGTGACATGTCCACTGTGTTAATCAGGAGACATGTCCAATGTGCTAATAAGGTGACATGTCCACTGTGTTAATTAGATGACATGTTCACAGTGTTAGTCAGGAGACATGTTCATTGAGTTTATCAGGAGACATGTCAATTGTGTTAATCAGGTGACATGTCCACTGTGTTAATTAGGTGACATGTCCACTGAGTAAATCAGGAGACATGTCCACTGTGTTAATCAGGAGACATGTCCACTGTGCTAATAAGGTGACATGTCCACTGTGTTAATTAGGTGACATGTCCACTGTGTTAATTAGATGACATGTTCACAGTGTTAATTAGGTGGCATGTTCACAGTGTTAATCAGGTGACATGTTCACTGTGTTAATTAGGTGACATGTTCACAGTGTTAATTAGGTGACATGTTCACTGTGTTAATTAGGAGATATGTCCACTGTGTTAATTAGGTGACATGTCCACTGTGTTATTTAGGTGACATGTCCACAGTGTTAATCAGGAGACATGTTTACAGTGTCAAGCAGGAGACGTGTCCACTGTGTTAATCAGAAGACATATTCACTGTGTTTATCAAGAGACATGTCCCTTGTGTTAATTAGGTGACATGTCCACTGTGTTAATCAGGTGACATGTTCACTAAGTTAATTAGGTGACATGTTCACTGTGTTATTCAGGTCACATTTTTCAGTTTGATACTCAGGTGACTTCAGTCACAGTGTTAATCAGGAGACATGTTCACTGTGTTAATCAGGAGACATGTTCACAGTGTTAATCAGGAGACATGTCCACAGTGTTAATTAGGAGACATGTTCACTGTGTTAATCAGGAGACATGTTCACAGTGTTAATCTGGAGACATGTCCACTGTGTTAATTAGGTGACATGTCCACTGTGGTAATTAGGTGACATGTCCACTGTGTTAATCAGATGACATGTCCACTGTATTAATTAGGTGACATGTCCACTGTGTTAATCAGGTGACATGTTCACTGTGTTATTCAGGTCACATTTTTCAGTTTGATACTCAGGTGACTTCAGTTACAATGTTAATCCGGAGAAATGTTCACAGTGTCAATCAGGAGACATGTTCACAGTGTTAATCAGGAGACATGTTCACTGTGTTAATTAGGTGACATATCCACTGTGTTAATCAGGAGACATGTTCACTGAGTTAATCAGGAGACATGTCAATTGTGTTAATTAGGTGACATGTCCACTGTGTTAATAAGTTGACATGTCCACTGTGTTAATTAGGAGACATGTCCACTGAGTTAATCAGGAGACATGTTCACTGAGTTAATCAGGAGACATGTCAATTGTGTTAATTAGGTGACATGTCCACTGTGTTAATTAGGTGACATGTCCACTGTGTTAATTAGGTGACATGTCCACTATGTTAATTAGGTGACATGTTCACTATGTTAATCAGGAGACATGTTCACTATGTTAATGAGGAGACATGTTCACTATGTTAATCAGGAGACATGTTCACAGTATTAATCAAGCCTTTGTTAACTGTTGGATAAGGTACTTGTTTACAGTGTTAATCAGGTGACATGTCCATAGTGTTAATTAGGTGACATATCCACTGTGTTAATCAGGAGTAATGTTCACTGTGTTAATTAGGTGACATGTCCACTGTGTTAATTAGGTGATATGTCCAGTGTGTAAATTAGGTGATATGTCCAGTGTGTTAATTAGGTGACATATCCACTGTGTTAATCAGGAGTTATGTTCACAGTGTTAATCAGGTGACATGTCCACTGTGTTAATCAGGTGACATGTCCACTGTGTTAATTAGGTGACATATCCACTGTGTTAATCAGGAGTTATGTTCACTGTGTTAATTAGGTGACATGTCCACTGTCTTAATTAGGTGATATGTCCAGTGTGTTAATTAGGTGATATGTCCAGTGTGTTAATCAGGTGACATGTCCACTGTGTTAATTAGGTGACATGTCCACTATGTTAATTAGGTGACATGTTCACTGAGTTAATCATGAGACATGTCAATTGTGTTAATTAGATGACATGTCCACTGTGTTAATTAGGTGACATGTCCACTGTGTTAAATAGGTGACATGTCCACTGTGTTAATCAGGAGACATGTCCAATGTGCTAATAAGGTGACATGTCCACTGTGTTAATTAGATGACATGTTCACAGTGTTAGTCAGGAGACATGTTCATTGAGTTTATCAGGAGACATGTCAATTGTGTTAATCAGGTGACATGTCCACTGTGTTAATTAGGTGACATGTCCACTGAGTAAATCAGGAGACATGTCCACTGTGTTAATCAGGAGACATGTCCACTGTGCTAATAAGGTGACATGTCCACTGTGTTAATTAGGTGACATGTCCACTGTGTTAATTAGATGACATGTTCACAGTGTTAATTAGGTGGCATGTTCACAGTGTTAATCAGGTGACATGTTCACTGTGTTAATTAGGTGACATGTTCACAGTGTTAATTAGGTGACATGTTCACTGTGTTAATTAGGAGATATGTCCACTGTGTTAATTAGGTGACATGTCCGATGTGTTATTTAGGTGACATGTCCACAGTGTTAATCAGGAGACATGTTTACAGTGTCAAGCAGGAGACGTGTCCACTGTGTTAATCAGAAGACATATTCACTGTGTTTATCAAGAGACATGTCCCTTGTGTTAATTAGGTGACATGTCCACTGTGTTAATCAGGTGACATGTTCACTAAGTTAATTAGGTGACATGTTCACTGTGTTATTCAGGTCACATTTTTCAGTTTGATACTCAGGTGACTTCAGTCACAGTGTTAATCAGGAGACATGTTCACTGTGTTAATCAGGAGACATGTTCACAGTGTTAATCAGGAGACATGTCCACAGTGTTAATTAGGAGACATGTTCACTGTGTTAATCAGGAGACATGTTCACAGTGTTAATCTGGAGACATGTCCACTGTGTTAATTAGGTGACATGTCCACTGTGGTAATT